CTTGCAAGGACTATCTTATCTCAAGGCTTTGTCTGAGGGCTGGGACCTCTCCAACTGCTTTTCAAAATATAACAGAAACCCACCCCACTGCCTGGGTCTGCATCTCGCATGCATTGTCCTGCTCTGGCTGCACCAGGGGCCAGCAGCTTTCTCTAACAACACTTACAAACCGTTCTGTTGTAGCAACGGCTGTAGAACATGTTTTAAAAGGCAAAGCTTAAAATATAAATAATTTTTTTTTAAAATAAGAAGTACACAAACACAGAGGGCTGGCTAGAAAAAGATGCTACTGTATTTTTAGAAGCTGGGCTCTTTTCTTCTTAGGTAATGAGTGTAATTCAGTTTCTATAAATCCCAGTCACCCTTCTCTGGTCTAACTTCAACTGAGCATCTTGAGCTTCTGAAATGCCAAGGCCTGCTGGCTGTGCTATTTATGAGGGAGAGCTGATGTGAGTTTCTGGTTTTGGCAAAGGGTGAAAATAAGGAATTCTCCTCTGAATGGGCCTCTCTCAGGATCCAGCCTGGCCGCGCGGCTGACCCTGGGCACATGTGTGCGGCATATGTCAGTCTTGTCTCTGAACACAGTGTATGAATCACTCTGCCTGGTTCTTCTCAGGGGGGATTTTTAGATCGTGCTGTTCCTCCAACATGTAAAGCAGTGTTTGATTTTCTGGGAGGGAGGTGATGGATATTTTTCTCAGTAAAATAGGAACAGTGAACACAGCCGGTATCCACTGTGAGGACATGGGGAAAACAAACCGAAAAATGACCACTGGCCAACTTCCCCTCTGTGGGGGCTTCCAGATCCCTTTCCTGTTGCTGGGGATGGTGGCAGCCTCCTGAGAGAATGAGGTCATTTCTTCAATCAGCAAATGCTTTTTGAAAGCCGCTGATGTGCCTGGAACTCCAGTGCAAGTGGGGAGATGCTGGAGTTGTGTAGAAATCAGAACGAGGTGGGTGTTCGTGGTGTATGTTTCCTTCTAATGAAGTGAGTCACTCCTAATTCCTTGGAAATCACAATTCCAGTGGCAGACTGGCTTCTGATGATCAAGTACCTCAGTGGTGTTCTGGGCATTACATACATTGGGCCCATACTGCCTCTGGATTGTACTTTGGTTACCTTAAGACCATTCTGGAGGTGAAAGCAATTCTGAGGTAATTAAAGTGATCAGTCCAATGTCTGCTGGAACCCCGTTTCCCCCAGAGACTCTCTAAGGTTGACTTCAAAGCCACTTAATCTCCTGGGCATGACTCTGGGAGTATTTGGGGTCTTTGAGGGCCCAACGGAACCTTGAGGTGCCCAAACTCCAATCTACTACAGAAGTTTGAGAGCATTTTTGAAGGATGGGGTCCCTGGATATGAGGAAAATGAAAAACAGAGCCTGGAAACCAAGAGCAGGTGGATGTGCGGCATGCCATGGCTCATTCTCTCCCTCTGGGGCCTGCAATTCAGGGTGCTGGTGGAGTCTCCCATGAGAGGGCAGGGAGGGCAGAGGGCAGTGTAACCTGCAGCCCACCAGGACAGTGCTGAGAGGGTCCAATGCTGGAGAGGCTGGGGTGATAGGAAAGAGGTAAAAACGTGGGTGCTGCAGAGGTGAGGGGGTGATAACTTGTTTGGGGGTGATAATTTTTCTCTTCTACCTGGAGGTTACAAAAAAGGAGGATGTGTGGAGACAGGAAGTGGGCATAGAGAAGAAATGTCCATTCAGGAGAGGGCTCAGGAGAGGGAGAGGAGGAAGTGGTGGGGGCAGTTCATGGCCCTGTCCGCTGCGCTCCACAAGGAGTCCCTGTGTGTTAGGAATCATGCACGTGGGCTGGAAAGGAGTTCACAGGGAACTGCCAAAGGAAACCAGGCCCAGGAACCCAGCATCTGCTACAGCATCTGCAGGGAAGAACCCTGCATGCTTGTGAGTGTTTACAACCCAACCCAACCCTGAACCCTCCTCACAAACACCCTGGTCTCATCCATCATAGCCTCCCTTCTAATCCTCACCAGCACCTAAGCTCACTAAACAAATCAAAAATAAAAGATGGTTTATGGGAAGGAGTTACTGGCTGAAGCTTTCAACTTGTTTGGTGTGGGTCACTAGAGGTCTGGTCAGAGAGGGGCAAGCCCCGGTTCTCTTCCCAGGGAGGTCAGCCTGGCACCCTGGGCACCCATGAGGTCCCAACTGGACCCCTCATCTCTGCTGTTACTTAGTTTCTTTTTTTAACTTTGTCCCTCAGGCTCCAGTAGAATTTTCTAGAACATTTATAACAGGCAGACTGTTAGGAAGCCCCCTCAAGTACAGGGCAGAGGGATCCCACGCCAGCTTCTCTTCTGTTTCTACTCAACCAGATGCAGGTTATTAGGGTTCAAGCTGCCTTCCCCATGGCAACTCCCAGAGCCACCGCTGTCCAGTGAGATTCCGCTCTCCTTCCCCTCTTTGCAGAACCCACAGGGGCAGTCTCAAGACAGACTTAGGATCTTGGGGAAGTCCCCTCACTGCCCGCCGGTTGGGGCAACTCTAAATAGAGGGTCTTTGGACTTGACTCCTTCCTCTGTTCCAGCCAGCAGGGGACCAGCCTGTCCAGCAGGAAATTTGAGGGTGACAGGAAAATCAGATTGCAGAGCATCTCCCGGTGAAACCCACCCGTGTTTACACACAGCGCCCCATAAAGATGTCCACACTTAAAAGAGGGAAGAATCCATTCTCTCTATTGGCAAAAAAGTTAAACATCCCAATGGAAAGAAAGTGCACCTCTTCTTGCTTTACTTGTGTTTATTAAGAATGCAGCTCTCACAGTCTATTCTTAGCTATTTTTAAACAAATGTCCACAGTTACTTTCATGTTATTTTTGCTTCGTTAAGGAGGCCTGAGAGCCTTGGTCTGCCTTTTCCATGGCAGCCAGTGTCTTTCTGGAAGAGTCTAGAATAATCTTCTTCTTGATATCAATCCTTCACTCAGTCAGCACACTGAATTCAAGGGAAAAGTTCAATTTGGGGATTTAGACAGATTTAGGTATGACTCTTAGTTCAGTATCTCAGCAAGTTACTGCTTCTCTGAGAGCCTTAGTTCTTTTTTCTCTAACATGGTCAAACTTAATTCTATGGGCTAGAAGCTGTGTGACTTTGAGATAGTTATTTGACCGCTCTGGGCCATCAGTTCCTTTTATCTGTGAAATAGGATAATATCTCAGAGTGTTGCTAATATTAACTGAGCTGCTCTGTGTGAAGAGATTAGCACAATGCCTGGCAGATAGCACAGTCTGAGGGTTTGGCCTAGGATGATAACCGCTCATGGTGGTGACTGAAGGGCATGAGTCATGTCAAACATCTGCCACACCACCCAACCCCCACCCCTCCAGTAACCCCCTTCTCTTTCCTCTGTGTCTCTCCCATATGAACAAGTGCTCAGGAGACTCCTCAGGGCCTTCCTTTCACCCCTGGTCTTTCTCATGGCCACTCCACCCTGTGATCTTTGCACTGTCCATAAACAGTATGTGCACTCGGAGCTCAGTACCTTCTGCTGGATTTTGCTGAGTGACTGGCTCAGCATTTCTCCTAAAAAAGGCCAGACCTACTCGTCAACATAAATAATAGTCGGTAGCAAAAATTAACTCTAAGAATAGGTTTAAAGGTTAAATATGTCCATAAGTTCTTTCAAGCTCAAGAAGTGGAGTCTATTTCTGTCTTCTTTCAGATGAGGTTGGGCTGAGACCTTTCTTTAAATAGTTGAATGTGGTATTAGTGACACTGTCAGGATTTCCAACCAGCATGTCATTTTGAGGCTGTGTAAGGAAGATGGTCTCACCCACAGAAAGATGAGAGGTCCCACGGGGCTAGACTGAGGTGTCCTAGTAGAGTTGGCACCAACCATCTAATGGGTGGAACCTCTCACAAATCAGAGTGGCTTGTGCTCTTGAGTAAATCTGCTAGTATTGTAGAATGTGCAAGTTCCATGGAAATTTTCAGAGATGAGGCAGGAGATTAGGGCATGGCAAATTGGCAGAGCAAGTGCGTGTGATCTCTCAATCATGGAGATCCAGGACATGTGCACAGAATACAGTTCTCAAGCCCGGCACCCTTTCCAAGAAGAAAGTGCTATCTTCAATACTTCTGGCTGCAAATCAAGCTGGTTTTTGATAGGACAGCCTACATCTTATGTTACCTCAAAGAATGAGAGATATAAAGGACCTCTGCCATTAACCTTGTGGCTATTGTGAACTTCCTCAGTGGTCCACACTCACATTGCAGAGCCTACTTCTTTTCCTACCTTTAATAAATGTAAAACCTCACTACCTTTTTGGTATGTCTTGTCCAATTCTTTGTTCAGGACACCAGAGACCTAGAAAGAGTCTACTGAACCCCAGAATCTGGTAAAAGAGGGATCTTTTTGCAAAAGGTATTCAATTCCACATGGCATCTAGAGGTAATCTTAAGGGAGTGTTGGGTGCTAGAGATCCAAATAAGATGCCCATCTTGGTATATGGAGTGTTGGTCCAGATGTCTTGGCCTGTTTTGTGATGCTGTAACAGAGTGCCCAAGACTGGGTAATTTATAACCAAAAGGCGTTTATTTCTTACTGGGAAGTCCAGGGTTGAGAGGTCTCTCTCTGATGGCTTTCTTGCTTTGTCCTCCTATGATAGAAGGTGGAAGGGCAAAGGGTCAAGAGAGAGACAGAGACAGAAACAGAGAGCAATGAGAAGACAAGAGAGGGCTAAATTTGCTTTTATAACAGAACTACTCTCACGGTAGTGACATCTGCACTCATGGCCTAATCACCCTTTCAAGATCCCACCTCTCGATTCTTTTGCAGTACAGTCCGATTTCCAACGAGTGAACTTGGGGGACACACTCAAATCACAACACCAGGATTGTAAAACATTTTGAGGACACAACTTGAATGAACACTCCCACTTAACCTGCATCTGGGGCTGAGAATAGAGAGAGAAGCCCACATTTTATTATTAGGGTGAATGAAATGTTCCTGTGAATAACTCTGCCTCTGGAATTCCAGTTGGACTTAATCCTGCACCTGTGTTGAAGACTGTAGAACCCAGGAGAATGGTGATCTGAGCAAGAGAAGATCTGAAGTTTCAGTAAGCATCAAATGGTCTTTGTTTTTTAACAAGGATTCTAAATATGCACTCCTAAACCCATGGGGTCCCAAGAGAGCAAAGAAAATGCAGCCTATGCAGGAAACAGATTTTACACTATCTGAACAGGACAAGTCTTTTGCTAAGCCTGGAAGAGGAATGTGTGTGTGTGTGTGTGTGTAAAACCAGATGATGATAGTGGATGGGATATAATGCTTAAAACATGGTTTTTGGTATCAAACAGCTGTAAATTCAAATTTTGCTTTTTGTTGGTTGGCTAGGTGTAACATGCTATAATGCTGTGTAACAAGCTGCCCCAATACTTAGTATCTTAAAAGAACACCTAGGTATTTGTTCAAAAACTCTGAAGTGTGCATGGGCCCCAGTTGGGAGTCTCTGCTCTTCATCTTGGCAAGGGGTCACTTGTGTGGCTCCACAGATCCCAGATGTACTCACTTTGGGGTATCACCAAGAAGGTCCAGAATGACTGGGACCATGAAACATCTTTCTCCATGTGGTGCTTTTCCTCCCTGGCCTGCCATACAGAAAACACAGGAAGGTAAGATTCTTTCACATGGTAGCAGGAGGGACTGTTCCCCAAAGAGAAGCCACAATGTACGAGCATTTATGAAGCCTTTGTTTGTCTCACGCTAGCTAAAGTCCCAATGGCCAAAGCAAGTCACATGGCTGAGGCTGGAGTTCATATGAGAAGGGAAAAGTGGATTATAGCAGAGTGTGGCTACTAGAAGGTGGAATATTTTGGGGCTCATTAATAGAGCAATCTGCTGTACTGGTGACCCAGGACAACCTCTTCAACACCCTAACTTTTGTTTTCCGATCAAAATAAGGACAGTAACCTCCTTAATTGGGAATAGGCTAGATTAAAAATCCCAAAAAAAGTATGGTATGAATAATCTAGGTTCCCCCCCCTCCCATGCAACGTAGTATCTGGGGTGGGCACTTGGTAGTTTTAGTTCAGCTATGGTAAATAATGTTAAATATGGTAAATAATCTAGAGGTCTACACAATTCTCTTCACTTTTCCCTCATGATAGAAAGATAAGTGCAATTGCACCCAGTCCTTTCCATGCCTTTTTTTTTTTTTTTTTTTTTTGGTTTTTTTCTGGTACCGGGAATCAAACTCATGACCTTGTACTTGCCTGGCAGGCGCTGTGCCACTAAGCTAAATCCCCAGCCCTCTTTCAATGCCTTTCTAAGAACCAGGAGTGACCAGAGCAAACAGCAAGAGGCATGCACCAGCGGTCAATTTCCCTCTGAAAGGGCTTTCTCAGAAGCCCTGCCCGCTTACATCTCACTGAGCCAAATTGCATCAATTTAGGTTAGGCAATCTTTTTTTTTTTAAAGCTGACGATATTGCTCCCTTTCCCACATAAGAGTATATTAGTTTAAAAAAATGAAGGAAATAAAGAAAGAGAAGGAGAGAAAGAGAAAGAAAGAAAATAAAGAGAAAGGAAGAAAGGGAAAAAGGAAGGAAGGAAGGAACACAGGAAGCAGGAAGAATATTTAGAGGATAGGCACCTAGCGGTGATTTCCAGCCTCACTCCCACTTTACAGAGTTGCTCTGCATATAGTCGATGGTCATTAAGTAGCGGCTATTTTATTTTTCCTATTTATTTGACAGCCTCTGGTAGTTACTAGATGGCCTACCTTCTTGTCCTCCCAAGTTTCTTCCCCAAATTCAGGGAAGGGAGGAGCTGATATTGCCCCATAACTCCTTGGCTCCTATCTCAGTTGCTGATAGCTACATAACAAGCCACCTGGAAACTAGGTGGGCTAGAATGGCAAACACAGTTACTGCTCACAAGTCCACAGGGTGTCTACTCTAACTAGTCTCACCTGGGCGCACCGGCCACTTGAGGTCAGCTGAGAGTCAGAGGCAGCGCTGCTCAGTTGGCTGGATCCACATGCGTGTGGGGTCAGAGCTGTGAACAGACATGGAGAGAAGCAGCCCAAGAAAAGGTGGAGGACTGCAGGCATTTTTGTGATCCATGGTCACCAGCTTCTATCCCAGGGGATGGAGGTCACAGCACTTTGGTGTCATAGGACCCAGGAGAGTCTGTCCTGTTGCTCTTGGGCCACAGAACAATGTGGAACATGGTTCCCTGTAAATTGTTGCTTCTCAGTGGTCTATCTGTGTGGGCTGCTGTACCAAAATAGTATAACATGGGTGGTTGGTAAGTAACAGAAATGGATCTCTCTCAGTTGTAGAGGATGGAAGTCCAAGATCAAGGCTCCAGTAGATTCAGCATCTGGTGCTGGGCCGTTCCTGCACAGACCACCATCTCTCACTGTGCGGAAGAGGAATTTCTGTGGGTTCTCTTTACCAATGTACTAGACCTATTGCTAAGGGCCCTGCTCTTGTAGCCTGAATACTTCCCAAGGACCCCTCCTCCAAGACCATCACCTGGGCACAGGGTTTCCCATGGGTGGGCGCAAATACTCGGTCCATAACATTGGACCCGCTATTTCTCCAACTAGTGCTTCCTTTGCTCCTTCCAGTCTTCTGCAGAAATTCTCACGGCACAGTTCCATGTCTATTTGCTCAGTCTTCCTACCCTCCTCTGTCAAGGGCCAGAGAGCACCTGGCACAGCTCTGTCCTCTGGTCTGCACCCCTCTGTGCCTCGTAACTTTCCCAGCAACTGGCTTTGCCCATATCTAGTTCAAAATCTTGGGGGGCACAGGTGTCTCTCCTGCACAGTGGAGGGCCCAGCAGTGGGACCTCGCTCAGTCCAAAGGTCCCAGGTAGTTTTCATCCTCCAAGTTTTTCTTTGCCAAAGATCCCTTTGAGCTTTGAGCTTTTTCGAGAAGTGAAAACTGGCTGCATGCGCCCAGCCCGTCAGCTCCCTTGGGAACTTGCCTGAAAGGGCTTCAGTCCTTCTTGCCTTACACGTGAAGTCCTTTGATCACAGACTCTGGAGCCAGGTGGCTTGGACCCTAACCATGGTTCCTCCTTCATCTGCTGACTGTGTCACTAGGCCCATTACTTACTTTTTTATAAAATGAGAAAAACAACAACCTGGCTGAAAGGTTATGGTATCAACTGATCTAGTATTTCTGTGTTCCTAGAACACAGCAAACGTGATATGAGCTGGACACTGCACCATTTGCTGCTATGAATGTGACAATGGCTGTCTTTGGTTGAAGCTGTCAGTAAGCATCATTTTTCCTGGTTGGTGCTTTATTGTTGTTATTATTAAATATTCATTCAATCCCTTCTCATATCTTTATCCAGTCTTCTCCTTCATGCCTTCCATATGTAATAGCAATGTTAGATAGGGAGGATTAAAAAGTCGATAAGCTCTGCGGCCTTTGTCCTCATGAAGACAAGCCATTAAACAAAGGCTTTAAGATCCCAACAACAGCAAAAGTACAATAAAGGGTGATAAATGGCCCTTTTGTAAGGGCAGTAAGATGTTACATAATCCCAGACTGAAAGCAACGACTATAAATTTTTTAGTGTTCTGAGATGCTGCTACAACAAATTATGCCAGGGTAACCAGGCCATTACCTGGGGCTTACAAATATTTCAGTTCCACATCACTTGGATTTTGACTGTAACTGGATTTGACTTGTGTTTAGTGGCTCCATTTCCTCAGGGTTGAAAAAGAGGTCACATCTTTCAGAAATGGGGTTTGACAGCAAGCTGCATTTCTTCTCTGCAAACCACTTAGAGAGAGGAAGACCATCACATGCCACTGGGTAGAGATCGGTTTTTTATAGCTTGGATGGTGGGCCAAGTTGTTACAGGAGTGGAGTTTTAAAAAATTTAATCTATATTTCTTTTAAAGAAATACATGGACCTAGTTTTAAGAGTCTAACAGTGTCAAAAGCTTCATATCAAAACAGTCGTCCCCTAGTCTACTACTTATAGGAGATCAGATAATGAGGACCAGGGCCTAATTGACCTTCTCTGCGAACACAAAGGAGAAAAACAGCACCTTATACTCCTCCAGCATCATGCAGGCACGCTGGCACCTTGCAGGTTCCAGGGAAGAGTCAACACAGCTGAGAGCTGGTTGTTTACCTGGGCCTGTACTATAGATAACAGCAGGCAGCTGAATCTTCTGCTACCCCAACTACTTGCTCCTATGTCTAAGTAAATAAAAGCAGTGTGAGCCAGATGCTCAGGGTTCTTTGTCTACTAGAAGAGAAGGGCTCCCTGGCCCCTCTGTCAAAGTTATCTCTGTGTCTTGTCTTTAATCTCCACTCGGCCCCTCTGGGTAGGCATTCCTAGCCGGCTGGTTCCTATAACTACTGCTCCTTTTAATTCCCCACCTACTGAGGCAAACCCTTCAGATATGGTTTGAATGTCCCTCCAAAACTTATGTTGAAATTTAATTGCTATTGTCACAGTATTAAGAGGTGGAGCCTTTCACGGGTCATTAACTTGTGAGGGTCCATGCTTATCATGGATGAAGGCCGCTGTCACAGGAGTGGGTTGGTTATCGCGAGAGTGAGCTGTTATAAAAGCAGGTTCAGCTTTCTTTGGATCCCGCTCTCTTGTGCTCCCACCCTCTGGCCATGTGACAGCACTCAACATGTTCTCATGTCACGAGGAGGCCGTGACTGGAGGCAGACACCTTGACATTGGACTTCCAGCCTCCAGAACCGTGGAAAACAAATTTCTTTTCTTTATAAATTACCCAGTCTGTAGCATTTTGCTTTAGCAGCAGAAAATTGACTAAGATTTTTCCAAATCTTTTAGGTGTTTCTTATGCCATTTACCTGTATATATCTGGATAACATGTGAATGTTGTTATTTCCTGATTTGTCAACTTCGCATGTTCTTATATCACATTGCCTGCTCTAAGACCTACCTATGTTTCCTCTGCCTTCTCAGCCTTCCAATATATATACTTAAGTAGCAATGTTTGATCAGATCAATAATCAGGAATTGTATTACTTTGAGCATGTAAAAACCAACTACATCTGAACCATATAGCTGATAATGATAGCTTTTTCCTTCTCATACAGAGTTTTTA